GTGCAGTTTTGTAATGCTGTCTCTCTTTTTTTTTTTTGTTATCTTGTCTTTAATATTGGTGCTAGTGGCATCGTATGGCAATTATTTTGCATATTAAAATAAATTTTGCAGTCCCACGTTTTGTTGATTTAATATTTTCTACTGTTTTAAATATTATTTATTTATTGGGGGGGGGGCACAAGTAGCTGGTCTTGCCTAGGGTGCAAAATAGTCTAGCACCGACCCTGGTGGTGAGGCATAGTGTTTCTCTAACACAAAAAAACTTTTGAACTAAGAATGATAATTCTATTTGACACAAGAGATAAGGGCCTTAATTTGGACATGGGATTCCTCAATCATTATCTGACATTTTTATGAATATTAGCTATAGCTTGACTCCGTCTGTGTGAGTGTAGTATCCCCCCCCCTCCCCCCTCGCTTTGACTGCATCTTATCTCTAGCCTCCTTTTTTTTTTTTTCTTTCATCTCTTCTAACATTCTGCTAACTTTGTGAGTAGTACTGCTTAGACCTTGAAGAAGGGAACATTCCCCGAAAGCTTGTCCTCAAAATTGTATGTTAGTGCAAATAAAAAAAGTATCACGGACAGTACTCAATTGTTTCTAACATAAGAAAAATGTCAGAGGTTTTTGTTGTACGCATGCACATAGGAAGTGTTCATAAGCTTGCATTTCTCTATGTCCATAGTTCAAAGGTGCATTTCCTAACATACGTAGCAAATTATCCATCCAGCTCAAGCCAACCTGTATTTAAATTTTAAACATAGGATCTTACTTGTTGCTTGTAAACTGAAAGGTAAGTTTAAGATATTTCTTCTGTTGCTCACTCTGTTCTGTTGCTCACTCTAAGAAAGGTAACAAACACTGGGGTTGATTTACTAAAATGGGAGCGTGCAAAATCTGGTGCAGTTCTGCATAGAAACCAGAACTTAACCAAACTAGAGTTTGCTTGATTCTTGACTTTACTGTTTGGTGGAACACTTGCAAAAAAAAAAAAAAAAATTGAGAGAAAATGTGCAGACCAGCCCTTCTAGTATTGTATTGTAATGTAAATATAGTTTTAAAAAATTGATTATCTTAAAAGGAATGCTGATTTGATGAACTCCAGGACACCAAAATTGGTGTGCACAACCTGGTACACTTGTGTGTGGGGAATACCTCAGTACTTGGTAGGGGATGGTCATGCTGAATCAGGGTTTGCCTAAACCCAGACTTGGAAGAGGTAGCGATTGGTGTGAAAGAAACCTGTCTTGTGGCAGAGGCACCTTGAGTGTAAAGATGTATGTATGTTCAGAGGTCTTTTGACAAATAAAGCTATTTTATCATATGGATGGGGTTTTTTTTTCATGCCATTAGCCAACATTATCTTGGAACAAAGCTATGCCCCTAGACTGCCCCTTTCCATGACAGCCTGAGCCCCAAGCCTGGCAAAATGTTGGGGACTTATACTTTTCATCACACAGGGCTGGAAAGTTTGGAAAATCATTGAAGTCCAGAAATAAGTCTCAATGGATTCTTGGCAGAACCACATTGTAGATGTGTAATCACTGTGGGTTGCTCACTATACCCCATCCTATGGGGAATGAATTGTGATTGGAGGAGGTATGAATGAACGTCACAGTTTCCATTTCCCCAATCACAGCATTCTATGAAAAGAATACAAGATTTTTTAGAAATGAAGGATGGGGAACAGCAATTTACCCACAGTTACTAGCATACTATAGCCAGAACTGGAAATCTCAGCCCCAGACGTTTGGCGCCATCAGAAACGTGTGGGCTTAATGAAAGTAAGAGATTTAACGAACGCTGCAGCAGCCAGAGATGGGGTATACTTTACTGTAAGTTATTTATTTTTATAGTACAAATAAAGAAAATAATTTTTGGCAGCTTTAAACCGTGGAACTTCAAAGACAGTCAGTAAAAAGACATACCTAGTTAATGTTGTTTTAAAGCTGCTCACATAAGTAAGAATAAAACTCTTTGCTGCAGGCGTGTATTATTTATTATTAGAATTTGATCTTCAGATTACAGACATGACCCATGTTTGTGATTGAATACAGGCATGACAGAGTTAAGCTGTCTTTCTTTAGAATGTTATACCACTCCAAATCCTAACAGATCTTTTCCTGTTCTATAAACATTTTTGTTTCTCTCTTGTCCCAAAGGGCGTTCTTCTCTGAGGAACCTGAACATTGAAATTACATTGTTGCAGGATAAAGGATTGTTTTTAACGGTACATAATTTCCTGAACATAAAACAAAGCAAGGGAAGTGAAGAAACTGCAGCTGCACATTATTTTTAAATCCCATAATATCAAAGAACAGAACAAGTTACTTGTAGAATAGAAAGCAAACCTATGTACGTTACTGATCTCTGCTGAAAATTGCAGAATGTTTATTATTTTAAGGTGGTATTTTTCATTTAAAGCAGGCCTACACCCAGCGGCGGACTGACAACTCATGGGGCCCCTGGGAAATAGGGGATCATGGGGCCCCGTGTCCTTGCCCACACTCAAAAAAACCTAAAAAAAGGTACCAGGGGCATTTCATGGGGCCCCCTACTGACCCCGGGCCCTCGGGCAGTGCCAGAGTGCTCGGGGTCAGCCCCCCTGCCTACACCCAAGTGTTACAGCTTTGCCTGCATAGACAGATATAAATTAATAACACCAGGACTAGAATATTTAAGATTCCTGGAGAAATGAATGCTCCGGACTCCCTCCAGTGCTGGCCGCACACGCAGGCCCTACACCTGGTCACTACTGTGGAACAGCCAATTTTAAATCGAATTCTTCTTTTCAGCAGATATTACATGATCAAATGCCTAGTCCTTCAGATAAGTAGCAACACATAAGGGAGCATGAGGCAATGTTTTTCCAGGATGCAAATTTTCATCTTTTTTTTAAACTCTTTATATATGCCTGCAAGATTGTAAATTACAGTATGCCTATGTTAACATTTCAGTAAAGGATTACTTTAAACAGCATATCAAATTAGGTCATATGATAGAATAGATTTTGATGGATGTTGAACCAAACCTTGCCTGAATTGTCCCCTCTCCAAACTCCTCCAATGGCCTGCACTCCCATTGTGATTGAAAGGAAACCTTCACAGGTATGCTTACATCATCACCCCTGAAAACCATACCAAGTGACCCTTGCTCTTGTGCCCAGTAATCTATGGAAAGTTCAGTGATCATGGTTTACATTCAAACTGAAGCAAACTGCACTGGACTAAATGTGAACTGTGTCCCAGACCACCTCTTCCAACTGGTACTGTGGACAATACGCTTAACTATACTCAGGCATGGTATTGCACACCTTTTCACACCTTAGGTGTTTTATTAAGTTATGAGTAATCCAGGACTCTGATCATGAGCAACCTTCCTTTCAGTATCTCCATTATGTTGCTATCCCATCCTTGGTCAACTTGTAAAGGAGTCCTTTTCACATTTATTAGTATGAAAAGAATTAGATAACAAGAACACATCAGAGTTTATGAAACACAGTTTATTAGCTGCCTTCCCAGTGTGTATGCAATTTAATGAAAGGGGTACAGATCCATAGGGGTTCTTCAGTCTTTGCAGATCACAAGCTGTGTCAGTATTTATGAAAATACATCTGAATGGAGCTGTTAGCAGGATTACTAAGACACTTCGATAATTTTTTCGCCAGGCCTCTCCTGCAAGCTAGCTGCCTATACCTGTGGAATCACTGACTGTTTTGATATGTAGCTTTCTGAAGGTCACCTCTAATAACACAATTTATCATCATATGTTTACTATGGATTTCCCAAATTTGTGACGAGTTTACACCTATTAAGCATAAACAATTAATGGATATACGCACAGTATACACCATACTCTGACACTTTCTTCCATTAGGCGTAATCTTTAACCTTCCCTCCCAGTCATCTACAGTATATCTAACTTTGCATTTGTGCTCCTAGTGATCTGCATTTCTACTTCGGTTGGCCAGTGTCAAGAGGAGTATTAAACATTGATCCCCTTGTATCTTAAAACTCAAGCGTACATGATCCTGGCAGTTTGGGGCCATCGTATCGCTAGTGGCAAATAAGTTGCTTTTAACTCAAAGAATCTGAGGATTGCACTGACAACAAGGCTTAAGTTTACATTAATTGAAAGTGACTGGTCTCCCATTTTTCATACGAGCCGTGTGAGTAAAGATGTGTGATTATCTATATTGAGGGGTGGATTAAGGTCATCTCTGGTCAACTGTTTATTTAGATTGCATTTATCACACCCCTATGTAAACTAGGTCCATCATTTGTCATCCTTTACAACACTTCTTCATTAGTCTCAAAAAAGCATCATTATCAAAGTGTCATGGAAGAGCTATGTAGGGAACCGCTAAGCAAACACTGTGACTGTGCTAATGCCAAACAGTCTGATTTACCTTTATTATAATTTTTATATAATTCCTTCCCATATGGAAGAAAAATATATTTGAAATATATTTCAAAAATATTCTTCCCAAATATATTGACATATATTTGAAATGCTACAATCTTGGCAATATTCAATATATTTCAAAATATATTTCAATAAATATATATATATATATATATATATATATATATATATATATATATATATATATACACACTGCACGTTTAAATGCATTTTTATTACAAAATATGAAAAATATTTTTAAAAATACATTTAAAAAAATACTGTATGTCATTAAAAATACAAATCTACATTTTCGGAATGCATTTACAAATATACTGTATTTTTCGCTCCATAAGACGCACCTGACCATAAGACGCACCTAGGTTTTAGAGGAGGAAAACAAAAAAAAATATTCTGAACCAATGGACTGCAGGCACAGTACAGGAGATGACCAGAGACTGCAGATACAGTACAGGAGATGACCAGAGACTGCAGACATAGTACAGGAGATGACCAGAGACTGCGGACATAGTACAGGAGATGACCAGAGACTGCAGACATAGTACAGGAGATGACCAGAGACTGCAGACATAGTACAGGAGATGACCAGAGACTGCAGACACAGTACAGGAGATGACCAGAGACTGCTGACAGTGCAGGGGATGACCAGAGACTGCGCACAGTACAGGGGTTGACCGGAGACTGCGGACAGTACAGGAGATGACCGGAGACTGCGGACAGTACAGGAGATGACCAGAGACTGCGGACAGTACAGGGGATGACCAGAGACTGCGGACAGTACAGGAGATGACCGGAGACTGCGGACAGTACAGGAGATGACCAGACACTGCGGACAGTACAGGAGATGACCGGAGACTGTGGACAGTACAGGAGATGACCAGAGACTGCGGACAGTACAGGGGATGACCAGAGACTGCAGACAGTACAGGAGATGACCAGAGACTGCAGACACAGTACAGGAGATGACCAGAGACTGCTGACAGTGCAGGGGATGACCAGAGACTGCAGACAGTACAAGGATCACCAAGAGAATGCGGACAGTACAGGGGATGACCAAGAGACTGTGGACCTTTGGGGAAGGAGGGGGAGCGGGTATCTGAATTCGACAGGTACCCACTCCCACTTCAGTGGAGTTGTCCTCCCTTTAGTGTGAGCACCAGGCTGAAAGATGGGTGCTTACTGCGCGTGCGTGAGAAGCGCTGCGCTTTGTGATTGGAGTTTTCTGGGACCTGTCATGTGTCCCAGAAGACGCTGTACCATTCACAAAGCACAGCGCTTCTCGCGCATGTACAGTGGGCACCCGGCTGTCACAGCCGGGTGCCCACACTAAAGATGCCGGCGCCGGAAGACTGTACAGCGGTGGACCGAGGAACAGGTAAGTTTCTGCTGCAGAGAAGAAACGAGCGGCTGGCCTGGTATTCTGACACGGTGGCAGCAGGAATACCGGACCAGCCGCTCCATATTCGCTCCACAGGACGCACTGACATTTCCCCCCTTTTTTGGGGGGAAAAAAGTGCGTCTTATGAAGCGAAAAATACGGTATGTAAAAATATATGTTAATATGACTTTTTTTATATGTTTTTAAAAATATATTTTTTTTAAATATATTCTTCAGGTTTTTTTAACATATAAAAAAGTCATTTTAATATATATTTTTTACAAATATTTGTAAATGCATTCCAAAAATGTAGATTTGTATTTTTAAAGACATACAGTATATTTGAAATGTATTTTTTTAAATATTTTTCACATATTTTGTAATAAAAACATATTTCAACATGATATATATATTGAAATATATATATTGAAATATATTGAATATGGCCAAAATTGTAGCATTTCAAATACATGTCAATATATTTGGAAAGAATATTTTTAAAATAGATTTCAAATATATTTTTCTTCCATGTGGGTTAAAACAAAAACACACTGGTCATTTAGTCTCAATCACATTGTATTCTAGTTATATCTAGCCTATTCCTATTAATCCTAATGATCTTTTCATTTGTAAACTTACTTTGTGAAGAACTCCACACATTTACCTCCTTGAATTCTGTGACATGTAGTTACTATGCCCTGTGCGTAGGCACTGCTGTGTCACACATTTCACAGAGCCTGCCTTCTGTACTACAGAGGTGGTGGGAGGAGGAGTTTCAGGAGGCAGAGTCAGTACAGGAATTATTGCTTGCAGGCAGCAAAGTACCATGGGATCTGTAGTCCTTAGAAGAGGAGAGGCTGCAAAGCATGTACGGAATCCAGGAAATTGTGGAAAGAGATGGGCATGCAGACAGGCAGAACTCATAACATGTTGGATTGTCAATTTTTTTTTTTGTTGTATTGTTATTACAATGCTGATATTATAAAATGAAAGTGTACGCTGCAACTATAGATTTCCTTTAAATCAGGGGTGTCCAAACTTTTGACCTTCCTGGGCCACATTGGAAGAAGAGAAAATGTATTGGGCCGCATATAAAACACACTAACAATAAGGATAGCTGATGAGCAGTTGTTCCTGCGGCTCTCAGTGGGTAGGTGCAGCCGCCTGGCCCAGTCACTATAATGACAGGTTGCCAGCAGCCACACTTATTTGCAGCTCTCTAAACAGCCAGCGATTATCTGCGGTGATCACTGATGGACTTAGACAAAGTGCGTCTAGCAGTGATTACTGTGGGCAAGAGAGCCGGAGGACTGTTATTATAGCAAATGGGGATGACAGTCACACCTACCTGCTGAGAGCTGCAGGAGAAACTACCGCTGCAATTCATACTGACCCTAACTGCCAGTGTGAGTGTATCCTCTGTATGTGCAGTGTGGGGGGTTGTGGCTGGGGGGCTTTTAAATCTGGGGGGTGCACTTAGCACCCCCCTAGAACCATGCAGAATTTTAGTTATCTGCTGCCCCTGTATTCCCTGCTGCTGGTGGTAGTAATAAAAAAAGTTAAAAAAACAGACTTAGAGGCAGACATGATCTGGCTGTCATGCTTATAACTTAAGTCATTTCCCTGGAACAAATATACATCTAAGGACTTCTGACTGTCCTGATTTTCATACATGATCTGGCCCAGTGACTGCAAAAATATTCAAAACGCTAGATCAGCATGATAGGCAGCTAGCATTCTCAGAAGGAGGTCAGCCATGGTAACTCCTGTATTTCTTTCATATGTTTACTGTAATCAATGCAGACTGTGTACATGACCCACAATATGGAGCTGAAGTCCCACTACAGAAACATTTGTGCTTGTTTTATATATCAAAACCTGTGTGATACAGAGATATGAGTTGATGTGCTTTATAGGCCAGTCCAGTTTATTAGTCCCCAACCCAGCAGGGAGCTAATCAGTGCATATATATATATATATATATATATATATATATATATATATATATATATATCTTAGTAAAAAGCACAAACAAAGCTTACAAAAGGCATGAGTAATACATTCCTCTTTTACTAGCCCATCACAAGCCTGGACAATTCAAACTGCACATATGTAAAATAAAACTTACATGACCAGAAGATAATTTCAGTAAAAACTGCATGACAAAACAACCAGTAGATCAGAGATAAAGGTAGCAGAGGTTACATGCCAATCATTTTTTGTTTAAATGCCAAGCCTAGCTCCATTCTCTCCCACCAAACCCCACATAGGCCCTTCCACGTGATGGCCAAAGGCACTGAGAAATAGGGAGGCTCAGCAGGTGGGAGTGATGTGAAAAACTTGACTTTTGTAGATAGAGATCTGCATATAAAGTTAGCTGCCTAAATCTCATTCAAGGTAATTCATTATTTATGTATTGGACCTTTAGCTCTCTATGACACTGACAAGTGTCAAACCTTAAAACCCAACTCCAGAAATTAGAAAAATCTACCCTTGAGGTAATATTTGCTTTATTCCTCATTCAAGCAGGGTTCCTCCAGTGGTGCAACCAGTTCCCTCTCTAAACTGTGGTTGCACGCTCAACCCCACCATTTATACTATATTGCAAAAAATATTGGGACACCCCTCCAAATCATTGGATTCAAGTGTTCCAATCACCTCCATGGCTACAGGTGTTTAAAATTAAGCACCTAGGCATGTAGACTGATTCTACAAACATTTGTAAAAAAATTGGCCGCTCTCAGCAGCTTAGTGAATTCAAGCATGGTACTGTGATAGGTTGACTGCACTGTGCCAAGTGTAAAGTTTGGTGGAGGAGTGATTATGGTGTGGGGTTGTTTTTCAGGGGTTGGGCTTGGCCCCTTAGTTTCTGTGAGGGGAACTCTTAAGGCGTCAGCATACCAAGACATTTTGGACAATTTCATGCTCCCACCTTACAGTTTAGGGATGGCCCCTTCTTGTACCAACATGACTGCACACCAGTGCACAAAGCAAGGTACATATAGACATGGATGAGCGGGTTTGGGGTGGAGGAACTTGACTGGCCTGCACAGAGTCCTGACCTCAACCCGATAGAACACCTCTGGGATGAATTAAAATGAAGACCGCAAGCAAGGCCTTCTTATCCAGCATCAATGCCTGAGCTCAAAAATGTGCTTCTGAAAGAATGGTCAAACATTCCCATAGACACACTCCTAAACCTTGTGGACAGCCTTCCCAGAAGAGTTGAAGCTGTTATAGCTGCAAAGGGTGGGCCAACCCAATATTGAAACCTACAGACTAAGACTGGGATGCCATTAAAATTCATGTATGTGTAAAGGCAGGCGTCCCAATACTTTTGGCAATATAGTGTACCTATTGTTAAATAGTTCTGTATTGTATGTGATGAGGCCAAGGGACCACCAGCAGGAAAAAAAGGACAACACCGAAGCAGGCCCGAGCGGGGGACAGGCTAAGAATTCTGCCTTTCCTGTATTGCTTTGACATAACACTTGCAGTGGAGCTCCTCATTCCTGGAGTTGGGCTTTAAAATACCATGTCACCAATTTAAAAACCTGCAGGCAAAAGCATATAAAAAATAAAGTATTTTAAATGCTTACTGACAGTGTTTTTGCTTTCGAAAATTATTTTTTTTATTCACAGGCAATATGCATGTGACCTTGATAGAAAGCAGTGGCGTCGCTATAGGGTTGCGGCCCACACCAGTGTGACACCTCCCAGAGGGGTGACACCAGGGCCTGGGGTCAGTAGGGGTCCTCATGTGAGAGTCAGTCTGCCCCTGGAGGTGCCCACAGATTATCATGCAGAATAGAGGAGGTTTAAGCCCGGAGAAAGCAGTGAACAATAGCATCCGTGCCAGCAATTCCTGCAGCGCTGCGAGAAGACTCAGGTGCCAGTCAGGATGAGAGAGGGATGGTGGAGCCATGGGGATGAAGGCAATGGCAGCAGCTCTGGCCACTTCTCCTTTTGGAGACTTCAGTGGAGGGATGGGGCCACAGGCTATATCCCCACTGCGGGGGACTTCAAGTCAGTGAATGCTGAACTTCCCTGGAGGTGGCAGAGAGTGCACTGCACAGGGGACCCGTCATTCAGAGCAACCTGCATTGTGTGCAGCAGGTCAGTGACACTGACAGTGGTGATAAATAGCCCAGCAGCCAGTAGTGTCACTCTACTGTAATCTCTGCCAGCCATTCTGAGTGTTTCTGCCCAGTGTCCACACACCAAGTGCTATTCCCTATTTCTAATAATCCCCTGATCTCTATACAATGTCAGTAGTACCACTCAGTGTACAGATATCAGTGTTTTATATAGGCAGTAGCACTCAGTGTAAAGATATCTGTGTTATATATAGGGAATAGCGCTCAGTGTACACATATCTGTGTTATATATAGGGAATAGCGCTCAGTGTACACATATCTGTGTTATATATAGGGAATAGCGCTCAGTGTACACATATCTGTGTTATATATAGTGAATAGCGCTCAGTGTACACATATCTGTGTTATATATAGTGAATAGCGCTCAGTGTACATATATCTGTGTTATATATAGGGAATAGCGCTCAGTGTACACATATCTGTGTTATATATAGGGAATAGCGCTCAGTGTACACATATCTGTGTTATATATAGGGAATAGCACTCAGTGTACACATATCTGTGTTATATATAGGGAATAGCACTCAGTGTACACATATCTGTGTTATATATAGGGAATAGCACTCAGTGTACACATATCTGTGTTATATATAGGG